AACCACTGGGGGACAGATGACTCCCTCTCCCCTGGCAGCCGCTGCCTGTAGCTCCGCAGGTGGGCCTGGGGCCTCATGCGCCCTGCCCTGTCCGTGATGGAGTGTGGGTAGGCCTCATCTTATACAGGTGACCACAGCGGCTGTGACTCTGAGAGGAGTGGCCGTGTCCTCTCCAGACGATAGCATGTCATAGTGCTCCCCACAGCCTCTGCCTCCCACACACTTCCTCCCCCCTCTTCCTCTTCTGACTTTCAAAGAACATTTTCATGTGGCTCTAAAAACACCGTATGCCCAACGGTGTAAGTTAGCCCTGGGGAAAAGGTCGTTGGTGTCCTTGGCAGAGCCCTGACTCGGCTGCACTCAGACCACATTTGTGACTCACTCCAATCCTGACGCTGCCTACGCAGGACAGCAGTTGGGATGTGTCCCAAATGTTGTCACCCTCTGGGCCCTTATGGAACCTTAGAGCTTTGCCATTGAAGGACAGCAAGATTCCGGAGGAAGATGCTACAATCACACACCTGATGAGGGAGTGTATCCGGAGCAGGAACGGCGGGGGGGTGGGGTGTGTGTGTGTGTGTGTGTGTGTGCACCTCAAGAGAAGGCTCAGCAGAGCATGCACTGCCCTTCCAGAGGACCCAGCTGATTTCCAGTACCTGATTCGGGCAGCTCACAACCACCTCCAACCCCAGGAGGGCCCTCTTATGCACACACATAACACCCACATGAATTTTAAAAAATCAACAGGGTCTAGAGACGTGGCTCAGCAGTTAAGTGTACATACTGTTCTTGCAGAAAACAAACCTGAGTCTAGTTCCCAGCACTCAAATTTGATGACTCCAGCTCTAGGGCATCCGAGGGCAGTGGCATGCCCACATATCCACACAGCCACAGGGACCGGAGGCGTGGCTCGGTGGTAAAACATTCGGGTAATTTGCAGGAGGCTTTTTCTCCCCATCCCCAAAGCAATGGACATACCATGTCCAAAGTGGGGTAAATGACTGTCCAGAACCTGAAACAGTGTTATGTGATTGATTGATTGGCAGTTGCAACTCAAAACCAGGAGATACATGCCAGGCAGTGGAGCAGCTGTCGTCGGCCCTCCAGAGGACAAGGCAGGGTAGAGGTCTCCAATGCAAGGATATAGAATAAGTTAATTTTATATATATAATCTCCAATACATCAGAAGTGACTCCTAAAGTACTGGGTAGGGAAACTGGCCGCTTACCCATTGTTGCTGGGTATGTAAAATATTACCACTTTGGGCAACAGTTCCTCAAAAATAGGGTTACCACATGACTGGTGAGTTTCATTCCCAGGGATCCACAGAGGGTTATTTTACAGGAACATGCCCACACACAAAAATGTTGTATGCAAATAATGTGTAGCAACGTTCCTAATAGGCAAAAAGAAACACCCCAACCCCCAGCTGCCCATAAAAAACAAGGCTGGTATTTGCATATGACAGGATCTTTATCCTAAAAAGGGGTGAAGCACTTGGGTGTGAGTCCTGCCAAGATGCCGGACAGAGAACCCAGGCTACGTGGCGTGGCTTGTATTCAGAGGTTGTGATAGGAAGATCCTGAATCCCAGTCCCAGGCCAGCCTTGGTGTCCTGGTTGGGTTTCTTTTGGTGGTGGTGGTGGTGGTTTTTTGTTTTGTCAACTTGACAAAAAACTAGATACATTTTGGAAGAGGGAACTTCAATGGAAAAACACTCCCACCAGACTACGTGTGGGCAATCGTGGGGGGCATTCTCTTGATTCATGATTGATGTGAAAAGACCTAGCCCATTGTGGGCAGTGCCATCCTGAGCAGGTGGTCCAGGACTAAAAGAAAGCAGGCTGAGCGAGCCATCAGACACAGGCCAGTAAGCAGCGTTCCTCCGTGGCTTCTGCTTCAGTTCCGGCCTCAGAGTTCCTGCCTTGAGTTCCCACCCTGACCTCTCAGGAGTGTAGCCTGAGAGCTGTACGCTGAAATAAACCCTTTCCTCCCAAGCTGCTTTTGGTCATAGTGTTAGAAATCACACTGATAGAATCACAGTGATAGAAAACCCTAATTAAGATACGGAGTAACTCCAGATGTGGTGGCACACGCCTTTAATTCCACACTTGGGAGGCAGAGGCAGACACATCTCTCTGAGTTCGAGGCCAGCCTTCTCCACAAAGCCAGTTCCAAGACAACCAGGGCAAAAAAAAAAAAAAAAAAAGATACTGAGTGGCATAGACCTGTCTCAGAAAAATAAGCTGAGGGGTCTGCAAAATGACTCTGGGTAGGTGCACTTGCCACGAAACCTGATGACCCTAGTTCCATTTCTAGGTCCCACATTGTGGAAAGAGAGGAACTACTGCAAGCTGACCTCTGACCTACACACACACACACACACACACACACACACACCATGGCACAAACCCCTCCCTCGAATGAGTAAATGTAATGAACAATAAATACGAATTAGACAAGCCAGGCCTGGCGGTGGTGATGCACGCCTTTAATCCCAGCACTCGAGAGGCAGAGGCAGGCGGATATCTGTGAGTTCGAGGCCAGCCTGGGCTACCAAGTGAGATCCAGGAAAGGCGCAAAGCTCCACAGAGAAACCCTGTCTCGAAAAACCAAAAAAAAAAAAAAAAAAAAAAGAAGCCAGGCCTGGTTGCACAGGCCCACCAGCTCTCTGTGTCATGAATCGGAGGCAGGAGGATTGCAAGTTCAAGGCTGTGCTTTGGTTACTGGGTGAGTTTAAGACCCAGCCTGGAGAGCATAAAGAAACCCTGTCTCAAAATTCAAAGTGAAAAGAGGGTTGGGGCTATCACTCCCTTAGCATGCAGGAGGCCCCTGAGTCCATTTCCCAGGAGAAATCTTTTGTTTTAAAGTTTGATTCGGCAATTCCTTGAACTTGAGGATTTAGCTCAGTGGTAGAGTGCCGGCCTAGCAAATGCAAGGCCCTGGATTTGGTCCCCAGCACTACAAAATAAATAATAACAAAAAAGAGGACTGAGGGTATGGCTTTGCGGAGTGTTTGCCTGGTATCCTCCAAGTCCTACGTTCAGCCTTTACTACTTCAACACAACAATAAAAACCACTGCGGTAAAATGTCTGTTAAAGTGTAGAAAGACAGGCGGTAGATCTGGAGTTGGAGGAGCAGCGGGGAGGACCGAGGAGTAAGTATTTAAGGCAGTCTTCCCATGTGGGATGATAAAAGGGATTTGACGTTAGTACCGATGGCTGTGCAACTTAAAAATACTCCCCCCCCCTTTTTTTCCTTTTGTAAATTAGGGGGCCACACCCAGCATGGTTGCTTAACACATGCACGGTCCTGTGTACCAATCCAGATCTTCAAAAGCAAAAAAAAAAAAAAAAGCACATGCATGCTGGCATAGTCCTGCACTCCTGAATCCCAGAATTTGGGAGACTAAGGCAAGAGGACAGGAGTGCAGGACTGCCTGGACTACATAGCAAGAGTTGCAAGCCAGCCAGAGATTCTTAGCAAGACCTGTCTCAAAAACAAGGGCGCGCGCGCGCGCACACACACACACACACACACACACACGAGTCACTGATCTGTGGGTCTTACAGCAGTATTTATGAGTTATATATGAAGAATACATGAACCGACAACCAGGGAGCCTGCATGGGACTGACCTAGGCTTTGCATATATGTGACAGTTGTGTAGCTTGTCCCTCTTGTGGGACCCCTAACAGCGGGAACAGAGGCTGTCCCTAACTCTTTTGCTGGCTTTTGGGACCCTACTCCCCGTACCGGGTCGCCTTGCCCAGCCTTAATACATGGGGAGGTGCTTAGTGTTACTGCAACTTGATCTGCCATGTTGTGTTGATACTCATGGGAGACCTGCCCTTTTCTGAGCAGAAACAGAGGAGTGGATTGGGGGCGGGGTGGGGGGG